TGGAAAAATATTCTTGGGGGTGCAAGTTGAACTTTGAACTTTCCGTTTTTATGCAAACCTTCATATAAAAGTATGAAAATTTTCATAATTTAAGTTCAAAATAACTCATAGTTTATTAGTTAATTCTTGGTTTAAAAATATTAGCGAAAAATGGTAAACTTGTTGCAAGAGCTTTTGCTGTTATAGAACTTATTCTTGAAATTATATCTTCACAATTTAAAAACAAAAGGAAAGGTGATATTACACCTTTTTTATGGTTTTAAATTTTGTATTTAGTATTTTAAATGGTGCAAACTATACCGTATGAAAACTTTAAATCAAGAATTCACTTTAGTACATACATTTTATTACAGTGAACATTATAAAATATTAGTTATTAGTTTAAAACTAGTTAATTAAATTGTATGTATTATAATGCCAAGTCAAAGCAGATCTTTAGTTAGTGTCTTTATTAATGACAAAAGATACCCTGACGAAAATATAAAACAGCAATGTTGAAGAAAATTTAATAATATACTTTTATTGCTTTTTTTTTAAATAAAAGCATTTAGTAAGTAATATCTAGTATGAAATATAATGCCAATTCATAGCAGATGTGTAGTTGGTGTCTGTAATAATTACAAAAGATACCCTGACAAAATTATAAAACATAGCAATGTTGAAGGAAATTTAGTAATGCAAAGTTACCAACATGTAAAGAAAGAACAAATGCATGATACATTATGGTAGCACTAGTACAAAAGATTTTGTTGTTCCTAAAAACTTTTTTGTTTGTTTAAATCACTTCCTTGAAGAAAAATCTACAAAAGATAATCCTGATCCAACTTTGTTTTTTAAAAATCTCTACTAACACCATAGCAACGCCAAAAAAGAGAAAAGTACGTAAAACTTCACGAAACTCAATTATTAATTCTTTAGTTATGAAAGAAACTAATTCAATGTTGACTGTGGTGATTCTGAGTTGAATTTTGTTGTTGCAGATGAAAGAGAAATAGCATCATCTAGTGAATTTCTAGTGTCTGTCCCAATGATGTTCTGCCAGTTGACACGTGAAAATGATGTGCAATTTTTTTTTACAGGTTTGGTGAGTACAAAAAATTTTCAAGTGTCTTTAATTATCTCAAACAAAGCCTCTCTTATGACGTATTGGGATGGCAGCAACAAAATTTTGAAATTAAGAAAAAGGTCAAGTTCTGTTGAATTAACAGAAGCAATATTATGTCTCCTGATTATGATGTTGATGTTGAATCATCTATCGAATTTGAATTAGTTTCTTTCATAACTAAAACCTTTTTAGAATTAATAATTGAGTTTTTGTGGAAAAAGTACTTTTCTCTTTTATGGTGTTGTTATGGTATTAATAGAGATTTTAAATAAAACAAAGTTGGATCAGGATTATCTTTTGTAGATTTTTTTTCAAGGAAGTGATGTGAACAAACAAAAAAGTTTTTAGGGACAATAAAATCTTTTATACCAGTGCTACCATGATGTATCCATGCATTTCTTCTTTCTTTACATTTTGGTAACTTGTGCATGTCCGGGTATTATTTGTCATTATTACAGACACCAACTATACATTTGCTAAGGACTTGGCAATATATTACATACTAGATATTACTTAATAAATGTTTTTATCTTAAAAAAAAAAAAAAAGGCAATAAAATATATTAACTAGTTTTAAACTAATAACTATTTTTTTATAATGAGATCAAACAACTCACTGTAATAAAATGTATGCACTAAAGTGAATTGTTGATTTAAAGTTTTTCATATGGTATAGTCTGTACCATTTTAAATTACTAAAATAGAAAACTTTATTTTTCAATATAAACTATATGTGTAATTAAATAAAAAAATGCAAACTTATTTTATATTATAAAATTTAAAACCATAAAAAAAGGTATAATATCACCTTCTTTTTTGGTTTTAAATTGTGAAGATATAATTTCAAGAATAAGTTTCACAGCAGCAAAAGCTCTTGCAACAAGTTTAACATTTTTTCCTTATAATTATAAACCAAGAATTAACTAATAATCTATGAGTTATTTTGAACTTAAATTAAGAAAGTTTTCATACTTTTATATGACATTTTGCATAAAAACGGAAAGTTCAAAGTTCAACTTGCACCCCCAAGAATATTTTTCCAAGATGGCTACGCTAACTCCGAAATCGTCTATTACGAACGATCGAACTCGTAATATAGACGTTGAATTAACGTGGAATCAACGTCGATTTTATTTGATAGTTTTAAACAAATTTTTCAACGTTGATACAACGTTGATTTTTGGTTATACGACGTCGCGACTAAAAATCAACTGTAAATCAACGTCGAAATAACGTCGTGTGCCCACTGGGAATATATGCATTAACATATTAACAATAAATTTGCCAATAGGAAACCGCCATATTTGCTAGTTCGAAATTAGGCCTGAAGTGAACCAATTGTACTATTTCTACTCTTTAAGGAAAAGAACCAGAAGAGTTAGATTTTCTCATTTAACTGACATTGAGTGATAAAAAAATCAAGTCTATTTTTTTCGGGCTAAACACGGTTAGCTATCATGTCAACCAACCTTTTTCTTTCAACGAAACGACTTGTTTCGTTGGCGTAATGCAGATTGACTTAGTTGACGATTCTTTTACTTGCGCAAGTATGCCTACTAATGAGTTGTTAATTACTTATTGTAAGTAATTCAAAGCACTTATAAGTACTAAACTAAGTATATTTAGGGAAAGCAGATCGGAGCAATTGCGAAAAACAAAAGTTGCTGTTAACCTAAGTAATTTTGTATTATTTTACTTAAACTAAATAAAAAATTAAATTTTATAAATTCAAAAAAAAATTATAAATAGCCTAAAATATTTTAATCATTTTTATACTTGGACTTTATTGACACTCGGGCAATATTTTATGTTTAGCGAAACCGTTTTGTTAGCAAAATAAATAATTCTGTGGGGCGGTATTTACCGCCACTTTAGTAAAATATTAACTATTTGTGATGGTTTTGCTTAATTTGCATTTTACCGCCACTCTAGCAAATTTTAAAGCTTAGCGTGGCGGTATTTACCGCCACTTTAGCAAAATATCAACTTTAGGTGGCGGTATTTTGCGTCATGAATCTTACCGCCACTCTAGCAAATTTTAAAGCTTAGCGTGGCGGTATTTACCGCCACTTTAGCAACATTCATAAATGATTATAAGATATATTATTAAAGGTATCAATAATATATATGTGGCATTGATGTTGTTAGAAGCTAATATTTTACATTTTAAATATTTCTCTTTTGTTTAATTTTTCTGAGTTTGATTGTGAAACTTCATCTACTAACATATTAAAACAGTGTACATAAAGTGATGTTACTAGAATTTATATTCTACTTATGTAGAGCTTTCTAATATTCCATCTTTCTGAGGCAGAGGGACATTATTCTTGATTTTATTATTTTTTAATTTAATATCTTAGGATATTTTTCATATTTAGTTTGCGTACAACAGTTAACAACTTTAAGCTTATACATTAACTTTAGTTATAACTTAATTATTAATGATTTGATTTATAGATTTTTAAAGCAATACAATATTGAATTTAGCAGAAGGCTAAACTTCTGCTCTGGAGACAAAAAAGAAAGACAGCCAAAATGACCAACCAAAATAAAGATTAAAGAGACAGAAAGTTGTGTACATCTTGGTGTAGATGATTTATCCTCAATTTCTTATAATAAAACAAAAAATATTAATAAACTTTGGGATTTACCTGTAACTTCAAACTCTTTACAGAAGTTCAATGTTTGCTCTGAGAAGTTAAATGAACAAAATTTATTAAGTGGTAAGTTTTTATATAAAAGTCTTTATGTCTGATGATTAAAAATCTTTTTACATGGCTTTAACTTTTACAATTTTAAAGACTTTTTCATATATTACGGTAAAAAAGTCAGAGTGTTAATTACCATTTTATTTTGTAATAATAAACATATCAAAGCTTACACCACAGGCTTGGTCGGAAAGCGGGAGCGATCACTCTCGAATACTGACCACGAAAATTATAATTATAATTTAGATGCAAAAAACTGGCCAGGTTTTTTAGTCATTTTGAGAACATTTAAGTTAATGAACGTAACAAAATTTTTTTTGTTGGATTTCAAAGTTGGTGTCACCAACTTTGAAATCCATTTGAAATCAACTGTTGAAAAAAACAGAGTATTTATATCATTTTAAAGTTTTATTAGTTGCTGGTGGTTCATTATTATTCATTATATAAACATTTATTTAAATTTATCTAATAGACGAAAGTAATACAATATTTTTATAGATGATATTATTTTTAAAAATTGTATTATTAAAATTCAGAACTAAAATATGTAAAAAAAAAATATTTACAAACATTGGACAAGGTCTATACTGTACCTGGAAAATCTGGAAAATATGTTAATATTGGCCAAAGTTGTGGAAACTTGGAAAAATCAGGTAATTATTTTTTTCTTTAGATAGTCATGGAAAAGTCAGTAATTCTAGTTAAGAAGTTACTCGTTTCACAATTGAACGCTGTATTTTGAAAACGTGAAGAGTCACACTTTTCTTAAAAGTGAGATTATTTGAAAAGAATTTTTTTTTTTTTTTAAATATAAAATTATAAGATAAAATAGATTTTTTTTAGATAAAATAAATTTTTTTTTTTGATATAAGAAACAATTTTTAGATAAAATAAAAATAAAATTATTTACAGGAAAAATGTTTTTCACTCTCTTAACTTTGTGACTTTTTCAAAATACAGCACTCAATTAAGCTATTATGTTTTTTTTTGGTGCTACCCATTTATTTTTTCTGAAATTTATGTTTTTTCTTAGTGTTCATTCTTAGTTATCCCTAATAATAAGATCCATACTAACATGTATAATAAGCTTTATAATAATATCCAACTTAACTAATAGCTAAGTTTTATAAGTTTTCTCTTAAATTAAATAAATCTTAAACATTAACGAGAATTGTTTTGTGTCAGTGCCAGAAATTGAATGCATACCTGCAAATTTCATAATTCATAAAAATATTATGAATCCTTAAGCAAGTATATATTTTTATCATTACAAATTTGCCCCTCTGTCTTTAATTTTATCTGTTTTATTAGTGATTGTTGTATTTACTTTCATAAATTCTAAATATAATATTTAATTAGTTGTATAGTTTCTTAATAATATAATTAACTTTATTGTTTCAAGATAAAGTTGTATCCTTGAAAGATATGCTGGTATTATTGGCACAATGGGCAAGCTAATTATTGTATTGCCTAAAAGAGTGTCATTGCCGAAAAAAATACAAAAAAAATACTTAAGTAAATGGTAAATACTTTTTTATGATCTGTTTATGCATTTTGTATGATATCTTAGTACAATTAATATACTTTAAATAAAACACTCTTTGAAGATTTTTTTCAAATGACATTTTATATTAATTTAAGTCTAAACAAAAGTTACTTTTATTATTGCCAGGCTGTGTATTTTTGCAGGTCAATTATTCCGCACAAATTGCTTGGAGTTAAAGACGAAGGAGATTGAATATGTTATTTACTAAGAATAGTTTTTTAAAATGGCCTAGCTGTAAAATTAAACTATGCAGGGAGAGGACAAAAAACTGGAATAGGAAAAATGTTGATTGCATATGTTGCTATTGGTAAGTGGTTTAGAAAAGTTTATTTTTTCAGTTCAATTTTGCATTATAGAATTACTTTCAATTTGTTATGTTTCTTTGGTGCATAATTAAACAAACAACTATTTTTTTTTTGCAGAAAGTCAAATAAGCATGGTTTACGCAGATATGTGATAGAGATAGCGGAACAAAAAATAATAATCTTGGGCACCAAATATCATTAGCTAAACACGATTTAATAACAAGTAGCTCAGCCAATATCAAAACTACTTTATAAATTTTATAGTGATTTTTTTTATTTAAAACTCAATGTGTCAGTTTTTGGTTTAAGTTTGGTGTTTGCAATATGTATATTTAACCGAGAAATTATGTTAAATAAATAAATTTTTATACTTAAATCATACATTCTTTTTTTTTCTCGATAATTTTTCAATGTAGCAATGCAAATCATCTTATTTGTAACAACGATCTAATGTTGCATAAAACGTTAGGCCGATATAAAAATAATAATCGTATAACATACGATATTGGGCCAATGTTGTATACAACGTTAGGCCAATGTTGTTTACAATATTGGCCTAACGTCATATACAACGTTGTGCCAATGTTGGGTAAACGTTGTATACAACATTGGGCAAATGTTGTACACAACGTTGGGCCAATTCCTAACCAATGATCAAACCTGCATTGGGCCAACATCGACTTTCAACGTTGGGCCAATGCATCATCATGCATTGGCCAAACGTTGGTCCAAAATAAGCTTGCTGTCTGGGATATGAGTGAAACATTTGTTAAATTTTTGAGCTATACTTTTTGGTTCATATACACTTTTGTTATCAACTCAAACCATTTGTGGCAAAAAACCGGAGAATGTTTTTTTTTTTTTGCCAATAATTTCTCTCATTATTTGCCACGTGCGCTTTGTGTCGTTTTTAAATGTATTGAATAATTGGGAGTAATAATTTTTCTTTAAGTTTTTGCGAATTTTTTCAAATAGTTCTTATAGATTTTTTCGCTTGAAGCTGTTTTTGTTTTTAAAAAATTTATGTATAATTTTTGTTTTATTCTGGATGATTTTTTAAAGCCTTTAGTAATCCAGGGTGTATTGATATTCTTAGTTGTTATTGTTTTTTCTACTAATAAAAAATTAACTTCATAAACAGAAAGAAATGATTTGAAAAAAGTTTCATAAATATTATTCGCGTTATCATCAAAATTTATGTTTTTCCAACGCGGTAATGATATTTGTTCTTTAAATTTAATATTACCTCATTATAAATGCATTTCTTATTATTTTTTTTATATTACCGGTTTTTACATTCATTTAAAACAATCATGACAACCATTTAAAACAACCGTGACATTCATTTAAAAAACCGCGACAATCAATTAAAACAATGTGATTTTCAATTAAAACAATCTTAAAACATTTAACGCATGCGCAATCTCAACATTCTATAAAAAAAGGTTTACTTTATATATTTATTTATCTAATATTATATAAATTTATTTTTATTAATATTATATTAATTTATTTTAATTTAATGGAATTTATTTTAAATTTGAATGGATGTTTGTTTTAAATGGATGCAAAACCATATTTTTTTACATATTTTTTATACACATACTGTATTGGCAAAACAACCATGATGTTCAATTAAAACATGCATGATGATAATTAAAACAACCATGATTTTCTATTAAAATATTTAGCGCATGAGGATATTAGATTTTCATTAAAACATGCAGCGAAATTCTGTTTGCCAAAATAAGCGAAAATTTGTTTTGAGAATGGTCGTTGATCAAAGAAAAATTCAATCTGAAACTTCATTGCCACGAAAAACTTAATCTGAATCTTTATGCCACGAAATTCCGTTTCCCAAAACATGCAAGATCTTGTTGTAAATCTAGTCGTTGATCAAGGAAAAACTCAATCTGAAGCTTCATCGTTAACAGGAGTTAATCGAAACACAATACAATCAATTTTAAGAAGGTATGATCGAACGAATTCAACACTTCCTGGTTCTAGAGTTGGCGCTCGTCACGTTATTTATAATAAAAAGATTTGAAGAAGAATTGAAGAGCTTATAAACGATAACACAACGACAACTATAATTGAAATTAAATATGGAGATGGGTGACCAATCTGGGATACACATATAAAGTTACACGACCAATTTATGAAAGAAGAAACGACAACAATGTAAAAAATCTTCGTATTGAATATGTCAGGTGGTATACTTCAATCTCACCTATTAATCGCTATCGAAATATTGTTTTTATTGATGAAAGTTCATTTAATTTACACATTTTTTGCAGTCATTCATGGGCAAGAAGAGGAGTAACACCAAACCCGATCATTCACCCTAGGCAACGTAACGTTTCGATGATATTGGCCGTCAATGGTTTAAATATTATTCACTGCGAAGCTGTCAGTGTGTCAGTCAACACAGTTTTGTTTCAAGAATATATTGATGAAGTTGTACGAGTTTTGGGGACAGAGGAAGAATTCACCCTGGTGATGGATAATGTCAGAATCCATCATAATGTTGAGATGAGGGCTCAGAACATTCAAATAAAATATTTGCCATCATATTCACCATTCTTAAATCCGTGTGAAGAGATTTTTTTATCTTAAGAATAACGTGCGAAGATATACGGCCCCAGCTGGAAGAAATGAACTTATTTCAAGAATGCGTGAGGCATGCTTATCTATTCCTAATGTTAACTTATCAAACTATTACACACACTGCGAAAGCTTTTTCGAAGCGTGTCTTAGGTCAGATGACATACCTCGACAGTAATTGGAAAATAAACATTATATTTTAAATAAAATAAAACTTTAAAGTTTTTTTAAAAAATTGAATAAAATATAAATAAATAAAACCTTTTTTTTAAAATAATATAGAATGTTGAGATTGCGCATGCGTTAAATGTTTTAATTGAAAATCACGATTGTTTTAATAGAAAATCACATTGTTTTAATTAATTGTCGCGGTGTTTTAAATAAATGTCATGATTGTTTTAAATGGATGTAAAAACCGTTAATGTTTCTTTCTGGGTTTGTTTTATTAAGTTTTAAGAATAGAGGAAAATGATCCAATATAAGTTTTTTATGATACCTATTTGTAATATTATTAAAAATATCAGTAGTTATAATATTATCTATAAGAGTTGCTTTCAAAACGCCTTAGGTAAAAAGTATCATTTTTGACTTTTTTACAAAATAAGCTACTTTTTTACTAAATTTAATCAATAACGTCTACAAACGTTATTAATTAAATATTTTCAAAGAATTCTGAAAAAATTTATAGAAATTATTTGTTTTAAAAAACGTTTTACAAAGAGTTCATATGTACATTGTTTGCGCTTAACCATATCTATTTTATTTTTTTGTTGTTGTTGTCGAGATACGTAAGAAGCGTTTTTCTCGAAATACGTAGTAAGCCTATTAAGGCGTTTTGAAAAACAGCTGCAGCATATATTTATAGTAAAAAAAATTAAATGTAGCAAAAAAAAAAACAATTTATTGTCGCAATGAATTTTTAAATTTTTTTCTAGCTACAGGCTTTTTTTTTTTTTGCCTCCACAGCAGCACTTTTTGGAGTAGCAGAACTGTTTTAAAAAGTTTTTTTTTTAATTATAGATAACTTTTTTTTCAGACCATCCGCAGCTTATTAGGACTAATTAACTGCAGCCGTATTCTCATCTCTCCGTTAAGCTTAACGGAGCTTTTGTCTGAAATTTCATTACAATATATCTAAGTAAAGAAATGACGGAAATCTTATTTAAATTTTTTAAAATAAAACTAATACTAAAATAAAATATTTATTTTTAAAAATTTATATCTTAAAAAAACTTTTTTATTAATATCTTTAAAAAGAAATTTTTTACTAACGCTCCGTTAAACTTTACGGAGAGATGAGAATACGGCCCGTTATTAACTTAAGTATCTCAATCATGACACGTACGTACTGAGCGCGTTATTAACTTAAGTATCTCAATCATGACACGTACGCAACAATTTTTTTCTCCCGGTGTTTTGATGTTTTTAAATATATTATCTTTTTTAAAATCTTTTCGTTCGTTTAAGTATATAATATCGATACATTTATGTAACGATATTATAAACACTCTTTAAAATTTCAAAAGTATTTTGTATTTTAAAATAGTCGAAAAAAAATTAAAAAAAAAAGGTTTTTAGTGGTAGGACTCAAGAACCATGGCTTACTTGTTCAGAGGCTCAGCGCGCTATCCACTCGGCCACGCTGGCACGTTGTGAAACGAAAATTTCTAAAATTATGAAATGACGTTTTTAACGGAAAGATATGCTATACATCAAAGTTAAGGAGAGCTTGACTCAATGCAGTTTTCAAGTGAAAACTTGATAAATATTTTATTATGTTTTAACATTACAATTGAAGTACTTTATTAAGTTTTAACATTACAATTGAAGTAATTTATGTACGTTAGACATTTACATACACGTTCGTTCACGTTTTCTTATAAAACAAAGTGCTGCAACATTTACTTGCCACTACCTCAATTGCAATGGCTGCCAAGGGTTCAGTGTCAAATACGCTCGAACGAACACTACTACTACTCTACTACTACTACTACTACTACTACTACTACTACTACTACTACTACTACTACTACTACTACTACTACTACAACTACTACTACTACTACTACTACTACTACTACTACTACTACTACTACTACTACTACTACTACTACTACTACTACTACTACTACTACTACTACTACTACTACTGCTACTTCTACTACTACTACTACTACTACTACTACTACTACTACTACTACTACTACTACTACTACTACTACAACTACTACTACTACTACTACTACTACTACTACTACTACTACTACTACTACTACTAAAAAAATTCGGCAATAATATATATGATATATATATATATATATATATATATATATATATATATATATATATATATATATATATATATATATATATGTATATATATATATATATATATATATATATATATATATATATATATATTTATCAATATTATTATATAACAAATGACCAAATTAGTCACAGAAGTTCATATTTGAAGTATGGTCTTATAATATTGTCAGAAAACTTGAGGTACCACTGGTACCTCAAGTTTTAACTGGTACCTCAAGTTTATCTTTTTGGCTTTTCTGGTACCGTACTAGAAAAGCCAAAAAAATAACAAAATTATGATATTTATACAAAATTATGATTTTAATACATTAAAATAAAAATTTTCAAAAAATATTGTAAAGTTACATATTAATACACCAATTTTAGTAAACACAATTATAAGGATTATTTTATTAGAGTAT